TTCGAAAGTTTAGTTGAACAATTGGTTCGGACGCGATTTGGCGATGAGTGATTCGTCAAGCCAAGAAACGTTAAACTTAAAATAAAGCTTTTATATGAACGTGATTGAGGCGGGTGTAGGATGTGAGTTGTAGACGTTGAAGGTCGCAAAGCAATTAGCTAGGAACCAGTTCCAACCAACACAGTACGCATAACGTACATGAACAGTTGCAGAATTTTGTTTAACACGATCTATGGCGGAATCCTTTAGCTTCTGTTGCAGGAATGGGCAGGCTCGTCAGAGGAAGTGCGCAAGTTAAATGAGTAAAGTATCAATATAACTCTCTCATACACTCGGTTAGGAGTACATTTTACTTTATCATTTCAATAATATTCTGTTTATCAATGAGAAATTTCTTATACACAATAAATTTTCTACGATCGAACAACGCAGTATAGCTTCTGTTTTCGTATCGATGGGAAATAAGATAGTATTTTATATAGATACAGAATCAATATTTAACACCATTAAACTACCTACTAAACAGCGAAAGTCTACAAAGAAATGATCATGTTTCAATTTGTCCGTTTTGCCTGTACTGTTGAAAATCGCAAATCCTATTAAGAGCAGAAAAGCTGATTGTCTAGAAACGGGTCGAGAGGTTGACGTGGTACGAGGTAAACCGCCGTGGAATGTTATAATGTGACATTTATTCTGAGGGGATTAGCTCGGATTTAGGGAAGCGTACGATTCTGCGTCAGCGGCAAACTGCGCAGCACACGACACTGCGACTATATCGATGGTTGTTATATAGTGTAGATAACGCATTAGTCACGACAAAGGTCCACTGCATAGCTGGACTGGTAGATGATGAAACGCTTCAATGATGTCCCACTTTAAAGTATACAATCAAATAACTTGTGTAAAAATAACAAAGATGACGCAATTTATGACAAAGTCTAACACGATCTTTTTACTCTTTCATTCTTCACTTTCTTTTATTTTAGCGGCAAACTTGTCCAGCTGTTATGTATTAGGAATAAGAGCATAATTTTAAGGTGCTAAGAATCTCAGTACACGCCTGACCTCTTCTAGAGTGGTCCCCGGATATTCTGATGATTCACTTCAACTAACTCTTTCTATTGTATAGCTGTCCCTTTTTAAACAAAACTTAAATTAACGTCACTATCCAGTCCTGTCACCGTGTGATTGCCAACGTAAAAATTCAAGCTATAATAAAATTTAATTTATATAAATACATGCAAAAAGTCAAAAAAAAAACCTTACAGAACGTGAAAAAAATGAACTTTTATCCATAATAAACAAGTAAGTATTATAAAAAGAAAGAATCCATATTATTTATTAACTTTTTAATTGCATTTTGTATTTTTTCTAATCACATGATATGTTCGCATAATAATAAATAGGTAATAGAACACATGAATGTCCTAACAACGTATTAGGGAATTATGTTTATTTTTAATAAAAACTAAGATTTTTGATAAATAACATTTTTAACCAACGATTGATCGTCCAAATTGACAGATTACTTAATAAAACTTTTGACAGCTCGTCTTTCAGAAACTCGATTTTCTGTTGATTGTCCGTTAATCAGTGACTAATTGCAAATCAAAATCAATGTTGTTTAAGACGTTCTAGCAACTCAGATCATGTTAAACAACGATTGACAAGAGATTTATCGTAAATTAAAATTGATTGCGCTTTCGGAAACTAGGTGTAAGTGTTTATATCTTATTCAGTGGATCGGAAAGAAATTTCGGAAACCGGGTAACTTAAACAGCCAGGTCACGAACTGGAGTATCGAAATAAACTAGTGTTCTAAGAACCACGCGGTCAAATCGCAGCAACTCTTCGCGAATGAATATCAACGAGATTTCCAAGTTAACTTTATGAAGAGCTGCGTATTCTGAATACCACACATTAAATTGTATGTATTCGAATACATCATAGTTTTGGTACGGTACGCCCACCACTTCTGGATCAATGAACTATGTGGGATGGTTGACAGTGAGTTGTTAAGGAAGCCCCACGTGATGAGTCTTACGGTGGGTGTGGACGCCTGCGGCGTTGTCAATATGTTATATTAAAACATCATTTATACATGAGTTTGCCTACTAACCAATACGACTAATATGTATATCCCGTTTAATAGACAAATACGGATAGGGGGGATATAGGAGTCAAAATTTTGTCGTTATTCTCTGCGTGGAAAATAATTTATAGATTAAATTATGACGGATCGAGAAATAGAAAGCACGTATTTTTTTAATCAAATGCTTAAAATGAAAAGTAACAAGCGAGAAAGAATATGTACATGCTTTAACAAAATAATCGTTTTCAATGAATCATGGTCGTCAAAATAAAGGACACTCAGAAGCGTGTCTTTTTATTGATTAAAAACACGATAAAACAAGATTAGTAAAAAAAACTAGCAGTAGCCAGTAGGTTTAAAAATATATTGAGCGGTATTTAACATAAATAATCAACATACGGGTGCCATTTTCCCGTAGCGATGTAATAATCTATGCACGCGCGCTTCCAAATAACGGAGTTATTAGAGGCGCTCGGTATCCATGGCAACGCCAACTTCCCTAAACATGCCTCGAGAAAATCGCGCGTTACTGCGATCCATAGCAGCACACCAACCGGTTTCCGTTGCGGAAGTATCTTCGTGAAACATTTATGAATAAGATACAAATAACTTCTAAAAAACGTCCGAATGAAATGAAGAAATTAAATATATTTTTTTTAGGTTGAAACTACGCGAATATATTAACAGAAGAATGTATGTGTTTCTGTATTTCTTTTAACGTTGTAAGGTGATTAAATGAGAAATACACATTAAATCACTTGATTTTTATTACTTTGTTGATAACCTTCTCGGTGGATTGGAAGACTTCATCTTCCAATTTTTTTTATTTCGAAAATATGCAGGTTTGGTCACGATCTTTTCATATACCGCTGAACACGGGATAAATCAGCACTTAAATTTGCAATCAACAATATTATTGATGCCGGCACCATGTATTGAACTCATATTGAATTAATAGAGCGCGCGGACACCGAGCTAACAGGGAAAATTTCACGAATAAATTAGTATTATTAGTATGTGGTTGATTTATTTCCCTCAGATTAAGTTAACATGTTTTATAACCGAAGGTTAAACTAAGTTTGTGTGGTCGGCTATTGTTATTTATTATTAAAGAATAAGGAGCGGTTGCATAACATAACATAGACGCAGGCGACAAACGGACAAGCGCATTTGAAAACAGATGCGTGTACTACGATATAAAATTGCCATTCCTATCTCTCGCAGCAGGAGCGGCCCGGCGCAGAGCGAGTTTTAAGAGGAAGCCATCAATTGACTTAATGCCGATTCGGACGATACTGAGCAGACCGCAGAGTCGAAGGTTAAAACACACCAAACGAGTGTACGGAAATATCGTTCCGTATGCCAAATATCGGTTTGCGCCTTAAGCGATGGGTAAGTACAAGTAAGCAAATGTAGCAAAAGAAGCGTTTTTTTTCGATAGTGTCAAATTGAGGCACCAATATTTAACGAATGATAACGATGGTTGAGAATTAAAACCACGCGGTCATTTGACCATCTTCAATTTTTAGCCAATCTTCAGTTTACACGAATAAATTTAAATTTACGTGCTAAATAAAATACGTTTCAATACTGCAAAATCTACGATCATATAAAACTAATAGTGTTTCTTTAAAAACATATAAGTTTTTAATAAACCGTCATAGCACAGTGGTGGTGATCGCGTTTGGTTCAGTAAACTTTAACAACCCCAAGTTCAAATCTCGGTGCCGATGCCAATTGTCGGTGAAATTGGCGAAACTAATTATATGCCACGATTTCGAATAACGCCGAGAGTGTAGTCTAGAGGAGGCCTTTGCCCAGCAGTGGGACATAACACATCTTTTACTTTACAGAATTAAGTTAATTAATACTTAATTAATACAAGGCAGACAGTTCTATGAGTTATGTACAGATTTTAGAATTTCCGAAACGTAATATGTAGGACAACTTCAGTCATAAGAGAAAAAAAATCAATTTGGTGGCCAATCACTTAACGATGGACGGTTATCCATGACCTACAACCCACCGCTGTCCCTCTGTACTGTGCATGTATGAGAACCCTTCGGGGAAGGGTAAGCCTTCCTCAATTCCCCATCCCAATCATACAAGAACCCAGTGTCCCGTCAGTCTCTTATTACGACAGGCAGCGGACGCTCTGTTCATGAATGCAGCTGCTATGGCGTCAAGTATAAAATGCAAATGGAGGAAATGCAGTTTGTTTAGACGCGTGTATGGTTTCTTATCTTGTAAGTTCGACGCGCGGTCGACGTTTCGTAACGTTATTAACGACGCAGCCAAGCGGACGTTACGATATGGGGACGCAATATGGAAACGTTTCACGCCAACGCCAACGTTCGAAGTTTAACTGTCCCTTAAACTCTTGCTTTACGATCGCCCGACTCGATTATAACACGACGCGTGGAAATTACTAGCTTTTTTGACACACATCGCCTTTTTACGACTGAAGCGGTCGTGTAAACAGTCCGAATCGAACGAAAAAAAAAAAGATCTTAATTACGATCGACGACCGCTTTGTGTTCAACTATTAATTGCAAGAATGTCATTTCGGAAACTATTTTGCGGATAATATCGCGTTTCATTTCGATTTCAAATTCCAAAAAAAAACACAACCCGTAACATAGTTTCATTTAAACACGCGTAATACTCGCGTTAAAACAAAGTTTAAACAATATCCTATAAGGGTAAGTTTAAGCAGCAATTTATATCACATATTTAAATTTTACCTATAATCACATCAAACATTATAGATTCCTCTTATAATATTAATAACTAATGCATTTAGAGATCTGTCTAGATAGGTTCTGTCCGCCGTTACTGCAGGCAGGAGAGAAGATACACCCGCGGGACAAAACTACCGTCCAAACGTGTTAATACTAGGTCCACTTACCATTTCCTTCTTCAGGTAAGTGAGCTGCGAGTCCAGGTCGGCTGGAGGAGGTTCCTCGACACCTGTGGGTGACTCGCACGTTTCCTGCTCGCCCTCCGCGAAGCCGCTCAAGCTCTTCGGTAAGGGAGGCAGGCCGTGCAGCGACATGGTGCTGATTGCCCTGAACTGCTTGCGTAGCCTGCCAGCAATGCGAACGGTCCAACGTAAGTCGGTCGTAAATTTATTTATTTATTTATACTTTATGCACAAACTGTACCGAGGCGGACTTAAGTAATGCCAAACAATTATCCCAGTCAACGTTACACATTACATAATACAATAGGTTCAAAGTATTTGCTAAGCATTTTGTTGTGCACAATGGTTTAAAGAATCCGAACCATTTGGATATGGCCTATTGTAACATTTCAAAATTCCATGCTGAATATGCAATATTTGTAACAATGATTGAATTGAAAGAATTCTAACGTTTGGTGCCCGTTATGACGTAAGTACAGCATAATCCTATAAAGTAACAAATATTTTGACGCAATATGCACAGACACATAACTGAAGAATCGTGCTCTTTACTGTATATTTAATGTATATAAGGCTACGCAACAGTCTACGCTGTTGCACGAATGGGCAGGTCCGTCCGGGGAATTACCACGACCTCAACAGAAGACCGGCGTGAAGTGGAAATGTTTGTTATACTTCCGCGTTTCGTCTGGTGAGTGAGGTAGCCGGGGCCCACGTTCTTATAAGGTGTCAATACATTTCAAATTTCACAACGGGTTTTGCAAACGTCAGTGGGTGGCGGTAAACCGTCTAGTGGCTTGCCACCATCTCACATAAAAAAAAAATTATATGTAATCCTTTAAAACTTCGTATGGATTGTGCAAATTATTTAAAAGAAAATAAAAGCCATGGCACGATTACGCCATGGAACAATACCTGTGACGATACGATATCAACTTTTGAAAGATTACCTCGCTCACTGATCGAAACTATTAACGCTTCCATTTCGCGTCGGTCTTCTGCAAAACCGATATACAGCAAACGAGGTTGCTCAAAAAGCTTACTATGCGCCCTATACCACAATTAAATTGTTTTCTAAATTTTTCAGCGTTACATCATCGCAAATCTTACAAATCAGATTTTCCGTTTCAATTCCAAACGTATTTGTTTTTATTCTCGGCACGCATTAGTTTACGGATAATCGTAACTTGTAAGGCTTATTAAGGCCTGAAAACTATGAATGAATATTTGTTGTATGATATATACATAATATATAAAACAATATAATATTAGTCATCATAATACGATACGAGCCATCACACTTTTTGCTCTGATGACCAATCTGTAACAGGACTAAATAAAAAAAAGTTGTCACTTGTTACCGGGCCATGCAAGTCTCAATAGTAACAAGTTTCCAGCTTATAACATTAATGATAGACAGGGTATTACTTAAGTTACTATTTAGCAAACCCTCAAACCGTACAAATCAGAAATGGGAGTGATTTATGGAAGCTATGAAAACGCATGTCGTCGACTCAGTGATTATATTATTACACCAGTTACATAAAACTGATGAAGGCTGTTGGGCAGATTATCCGTTGTTATTATTACAGAAGCGATATACGGATTCCGATGTATCCAATCCATACACCAAATTAAAACTGATAATCTGTCTAAATACCTACGATAAAAATTTGTATAATGTGTCACTTTTAGTAATAATGGTATTAATAATTTTGAAAACAAGCAAGAGAAACAGTTGCGAGATTACAAGTACCCAATTGGCGTAGTGGACAGTGACCCTGCTTCTTGCGCCCGAGGGTGTGGGTTCGATCCCCACTACTGAAAAAATATTGTGTAATGAACATAGTGTTTTTCTAGTATATGGGCGTTTATTTATGTATTTATTTAACGGTGGTAGAGCCACGCAGCACCCTCGGCTGTGGCACGAATGGGCAGGCTCGTCCGGGTAAGTACCACGACCACACAGAAGATCGGCGTAAAATGGAAGTATAATACTTTCGCGTTTCGTATGGTGAGTGAGGTGGCCGGAGCCCAGTTTTCAAAAGGTTGTCAACGCATCTGCAACAGAGCAGTAGTGTAGCAGTTGTCCTTGAGTGGCGGTATGCACTTAACATCAGGTGAACCGTCTGTTCGCTTGGCAACTTTTAACATAAAAAAAAATAAGTAGGTAATATAATAATATTATTCTAAGTTTTTAATTGGATTCCACATAAATAGAAATAAGTAGGTAATAGGTATGTCTTTCGAATTATACGTACGTATTTTGAATTAGTCACTATTTGCGCGTCGCTACGATCGATAACTTTTTTCTTTTCTGCATAGTTTAAAAATAAATCGATGGCAGGATTTATTCTTATTTTATTATTCGCCCAATTCTTTCTGCTTAAAAATATTCTTGATTGCGAGTACAAAGCAAAGCAATGGATACATTCCCGCATTGTTCTAGAGACCTTGAAACAGTCTAATTATTACTAATTATTACAAATAACAGACTGAACAGTTAAGTTCCTATGGCGTGACCTTATATTTTAGCTGACTTGTTTGATATTGCCCGTTAGAATGCTAGCAGAATAACTACAAAAATAAATTTAGAATCGAGTGGCAGTCTTAATATGAATGTAGAGCCTTTGTATTGGGGACCCTGACATTAGAGACCCTGACTTTTATCGTTATATTTGAAACTTGTTCAATACGGTGACCGCTTCACCAGTTTAAAATGTGATAAGTGAAAAGATTTGTAAGTCAAAGTCAGAATTTCTCTATTCAACCTAAGCTTGTTTCAAGTCAGCGGACATAAAACCGGTCCACTAATTAGTACCAGTCCAAAGAGCTGGCAATAAAATCTGTCCTATTTGTTCATTTTTTTTTTTCATTTCATTAATTTGTGCCAATATACCTCACCTAGATTTCAGATCGTCGTCCGCTATGTAGGCATATGCCTGTTCGTACGCGTCGTCCGTCCGTTCGCTCGTCACCGAGCAGGTAGCGTAGTTTGGCTCCGTGTCGGAGTCGCACTGCTCACTCCTCACGGACCCCTCACGCTCCAAGCGTTCGGGCACGTTCGACTGTGAGTGCATCGTCTGCAGCTCGTATATCAGCATCTCGTGGTTGCTCATGTCCCTGGTAATTTCGGGGGACTCCCCGTTGAGGTGGTCGGGCGCTTTGCCCTTGTCTATCACGGTGTTCTCCTCGTCCGCGCTGCTGCGGCCGGCGAGGATCTCTGAGATGAGCATTTCGGTGACACGGGAGGTTTTCTGTTCTAGGAGGTCGCTGTTAGCGTCCTTCTCCCGGTCGGTGCCGTTGTCGAGGCCCTGAGTCTCGACGGCGGAGAGCCGAGTCGGACTGTTTTTCAGTCTGTCGTCGAACTCTTGCACTTCGTCCACCGTGGCGTACGGCGCCTCAGAGGCCCCGCCCGGGTCGACGCGCGCGTCTATCGGCTGCGAATACGGGCTTAAGTCCGTCGACTGTTTCTTCTGTTTGCTTTGGCTAGGCGTTTTTGCTGGCAACGGCTTCATCGGCTTCAACTTGGGCTTGGGCGAGAGCGGCGGCGGCGGCGCCCTTCGTAGCGGCAACGTTTTCTCCGCGAAACTGCACGACTTCGAAACCTTGCATTTGGGATCTTGGTCTAACTTGTTCGAAGTTGAGAGTGATCGCACCAGAATTTGTCGGCATGTTTTCACCGCTTTGGAGTTCAGGGACTCGTTAGATCTTTTCACGGACGCCGGCCCTTGGGAGTTGCTGTCGCTAGAGCTCCGTCTGGAGTTCTGGCCGCTCGATTTCCTCTCGTCCGAGGACGAGCTGCGGTCGCTTATGACGTCCCTGATAAAAGACTTGACCCGCGCGAGCCCGTTCTGCTTCGGCGACACGGTTTGGTGGCTCGCGGCATACGTCCTGTCCAGGGTTTTGGCCTTGGCGACGTTGTTCAGGTCCTGTTTGGACGAGGCGCGCGACTTGGAGAGGCTGGCTTTGGATTCCGTCACGGCCTTCCTCGTCTTGGCCAGCGCTTCGGCCACTAAGCTCTGGCTAGGTCGGGGCGGTACAGGCGGCGGGCCCTTGATTTTGCTGGTCTTCATGGGCTGCGCGTTGGTCTGCACCATCAGCATGCTTGCAACGAGGCCTCACTCGCACAATACTATAACACGTGCACTATAGTATACGGAGCGCGAGCACAGCACGGCGTAAGGAGACGTCACTCGCGGTCGCGAACACGTGGACACGACCGCACCGACCACGGCGCGCGGCTGACTGACGAAATGACGAAAAGCGGCCCGAGTTGCACCTCCACCGCGCTGCCGGATGTGCCATCACATGCGAGTTTAGCTCTTCAGCCCACGGTATTAGAACACACTGTCGCGTGGATACGCCCATTCGCAATTCTTGTCCGTTTGCAACGCACGGACACAGCGCGCCGGCTGACCCGCACTAATGTTGTAAAAGTGATTGTTTACTATGGGAATGGACGCAATACCAGCAACCGGCAGCGCACGCCATGTTGCATGGTGGTCCATTGTCTCCGCGTAAAAGCACCCACTTAGGCGGGCTATTGTTTTCGGCCATCAGAACGTTGCAGACGGCGCAATACGTCGGGATTTGCGAAAAAGTAATTAGTCAAAATTAAATATATGGCTACTGCGATCACGTAGTGAAAGAAATAGCTACCTAACTAAAGCCCATTGACAGAAAACAAGAAAGACGCAAGAAATAATAATTTGCGTAAAAGTACTACTTAAAAAAGTGATAAGGAAATCGGTGAAATAGTCATAAATTAAGTAACTATTTAAAAAAAATCATAAATTTCCAAATAGGTTTTTTCTCAAGTTATATTATAATCAATTAATTTTTAACAAATAATTTGACATTCAGTGTGCAGTTTTTATTTTGTAATTAAATCTTACAAGTAACTGTTTCATACATAAGAAAAAATATTAATTTATTCAGAAATAAAATCATTTTAAATAAATAACCCCTTATGTAACACATCAGTTCTGTCACATAACCCATTTTAGCAAATGGCAGAAAATGTATGATAGGCTAAAAACAACTTGTAAGGATTCTGAAAAGCATTATGCAAAACAAACAGCAAATGTAAATGTGTTAATAGGGGGATTGAGGCTAACAGACTAGATAGTTCAACTTAGATGGCTTGATATGAAAGTGCTCACAATAATTATTTAAGGATCTTTATAAAATCATATAGAACGAAGTTACAGCTCGGATTTTAGACATAGTGGTATCAAGTCCATATATCTGTGTTGAGTTCTTATCATTTCATAAGTGTAAAAAAATTCATAGGCCACCTCTCACAACTTTCATTCGGTAATTTATACACAGTGATATCTGTCTACTGTTCTAGGGTAAAAAATAGCTATATAACCTTTGTGAGGTTTGACATATTTGAGTGACAATCATGCTCTTCAATACTTAAATAATGATTTATAGGTTTTGATTTTTTTTTTGTTTTTTAGTACTAAAGTAAAAATTTATTTTGTATTAAAAAGCTTTAATTTGCCACACTGATGAGTTTTGAAAACTGTTTGTTGCCATTATTTCACTGTTCTATCTAAGGTTGTATGGTTCAAAGAAATATAAAGTCAGCAAAACAAAATGATACAAAGCCATACTTACGAAAATCTATTTATTGTTGAATTTCCAGTCTTGTCGGCACATAGGACACTGCTGCTGTGGTTGTGAGTGTAGCCACTTAACTATACAGTGAATATGAAAACAATGGGAGCAGGCGCCCCAAACTAGAGGACAGTCGTCTCCAGGCAGTTTACAGTCGGGGCAACAGCTATCGAAGGGCATACGACAGATGCCGCAGTTATCATCATTTGCTATCCAACGCCACGTAGCCACACCAGTCCAACCTTATAAATTTAAAATAAAAGTTTAAAATAATATAGTAGTAGTAACCGAAACAACCAGTGTTTTTTATACATACTTTTAACAGTGACCTTCATGTCGTGGTAAGAACATCGTTTGGCTGCAGACTTGAATTTTTAAACACAATTTATATAGAGATTTTTCACCACTGAAATTAATTTACGTTATCGGATTGTTTTCTTTTAGAAAATTGAAGATTTAAACAATTAACAGGAGACAGGAGCATAAACAAATGACATTTGATAATTTATTATTGATTTGACTAGGTCTGTCGACAATTCGTTACCTATTACCATAGACCACAGATTATCAATTATAGAATGTTTAATAGCAAATAATAACAGCCAAAAATGGCGAAATAATATCGACGCTGTGCCAGCACGCTTGTGTGGCGTAAACCATATTTTATCTCAAAAATAATATGTTTCAACAACAAAACAAAGGTCTAGTTATATTATAACCAGACCTTTGTTGTGTTGTCACTTAATGGTAAATCCGCAAAATATCGTTCACATAAGAAATTAAATACGAATCTTTTAATTTTCGAAGAATAAAAATATAATAACTAAACCCCTCACTCTTAGTTCCAATTATCCAACCATTTTTCGTTTACAGGGCTCCGGCATGTGCAGCGGAGTGAACGACGTCATTTGTGTCTGCCTCTGCGCGTCGTTTGCCACCGGACATCTTCCGTCAAAGTTGTTCAAAGGTAAACTACATAACTTAAAAATATTATGCCCAATCATCAACATTGCATATAATTAAATTGTTTATCTTGCATACTTTATAACTTCCGTTAATGATATATATGAAGAAAAAGAAAAAAATTGTGTAACGTAACCTTTACAAGCGGTTAAATTAAAATAAATGTCTTTAAAATAATTAATAATTATTTCATTTCAATGATTTACATTATTATTTAATAAGTACTTTACTTTATTAGCACCCAGAAAGCCATCAGGTACTATAGTACCAAGGAAATAAAATTATGTTAACCGCCACTAGGGAACTGTGGTACTTACGCAACATAGTGTTACTAACTCGAGCAACCTGAGTTCCATGCCCGGTGCTGCCCTTGCTACCAATGAAATTGTTAATTTTAAGTGCTGAATTATAACTTGTTCAGCGGTGAAGGAAAACATAGTGGAAACCTGTGGAAAAAATAAAATATTTCGAAGATATGTGAAGTCCGCCAATCCGCAGTAGGGCCCCATGGTGGACTATTTCTTGGTACCCTTTGTACAGAGGAGGCTTTAGCCCAGCAGTAGAACATGTATAGGCTGATAATTTATTCAAAGCTTATTGTTAAAGTGTATAATCTATGCAAGTGTCTGTCATTAGTTATAACGTATCATCATTTATTGGCCTAAAAGACGTCCATACCAGGCCATGAAATCCAAAAAAAAAATACATCATATACTAGGTAGTGTCAAAATAATGTCCGTCAGCTGTCACTGGAAGCAAGAAAAGCTTTGTGGGTTGATGTGTTGGAGGTTTTTAGTTCTATTATTGCCTTTTTAAAGACTTAATTTATAACTTATCACACTAAAATGACTACATTCGACTCGAAATATGATGTAAGTTTAGAATATTAACTTTAAAACCTTATTTGAATATATATTTGTATGTATATTTATTTACGTTGCTAGCTTATTTTACTGTTAAATAATATAACACATGAAATACTAGCAAATAAGCCTTGTAAATTATTTGCTATGAATCACTTGGAATATAAATAGTAATCGAATTAAAGATATATATAAAAAGTATATATATTATATATATATTTATCTTTTTACCGAAATCAATTATTTACTCATATTGCATTTTGGGTTATCTTATGTGTTATTTATTTACTAATCTTCAAACATCTGTGAGATAAGATACAATAGTGAAGTAATTTAAAATACCTTTTTTATTGAAAAATATTTATTACATGAAATATTTCAATTTATTAATTTTTCATTAATTTATTTACAAAGATGTTTCCTGCTGGAGATGTTGGGATTGTAGAAGGGGAAATGAATATTCCATCACGAGGCATGCCTTCTGGAGAAAGTATGGAATTCAACACACTTGATGAACCTATTAAAGAAACATTTGTGAGTTTAATTTTATTAATTTTTTTTAGCCGATCCTCAAATGTTATTGTAATAAATAAGATTTTTCTCATTCTTTTTAAATGTTAAGTATTTAAAAAATAGATCTAATAGGCATAATAAACTAACCACATACAATTTTAGACCATAATAGAGGTGCGTCGGAACGAAAACTGATAAATCACATATCACATTTTTTTTGGGATATAAAAAAATACTACAACAATACTCCACATGTCTATGGATTTTCAATTTAGAGATGAACAAAGTTTACTTTTTAAAATATTATATATTGTTTATATATTTGGTACATGATGTATACATGTACAGAAACTGCAGATTCCCACAAATAAAATAAAAAATGTGAAAATAGTTAGGGTTTTTTAAGATTCTTTAACTTAATTTTAATCTTTACTATATGCCATTATATTATTATTTTAGTTATTATAATACTTTTGTGCATTATAGTACTTTTTATATTATTAGCACCTATCAAATCCAGCATTTGTAATTAAAATAATTTCTTTACTCAATAATAATAATTAAGTGTTTAACAAGGAAAGTTGCACAAATTAAGCTGTTGCTCATTCATTGATCAAGATATCAAAGACTGAACATTAAATTGTGACTGAGCAATGCAATGGCTTCTACGGAGTTATTTGGATGAATGGCCTTCCTGTAGTGTATCAATACAGATAGTCCCGAATTTAATTCTTTCCCAATCACTGTGAAGTAAACATTGATACTTTTATGCATTGTCAAGCAAATGAGGTGATTTTATCCCAATTGCTAAAATTGGAAAGAGTGGCTATAGTTAGCAGTGGTCACTAAATAACAAGTGAATCTATTCTATGCAAGTGCATACTTACATTTACTATCTTACCAGAACTCTATGTTTATATGAGTCTTCATCGTGCATTGAATTTTTTTGTTTTCAAATAATTTCCATGGACTTTCAATAAGTATCCTTGCAATTTTCAGATGCGGGATTTGAGAGCTGTTGGTAACAAATTTTTCCATGTGCTAATACCAAGAGAGAAAACAAGCTTATTAAAGGAATGTAAGTAGGTTTATTATTTTTTACATGTCATTTGTAACTGGAAAGCCAAAATTACTTAAACACCAAACATTTATATGGCAGCTAAGTTATTTTGCATTTCCAGTGACAATATAAATTTAAAAATATTTTTTCAACCTCATGACATAAGATGAGATTTATTAGCCATCATTTTATCCTAGCATAGCACTTATACAAAACAGGATATCCATATTGAAAAATTTTGCCCTCTGCCTTCAATTTTAAGTGTAACTTGTGTTCAAAAATCGTAACTGAAATTTGATTTAAAAGGCTCTAAACAGTCATAATCAATATTCAGCTACAAACAATTAATATTTTATATAACAAACAATTAATATTGTAAATACACCTTATACCTTGCTATACCACTTCTTGGACAAAGTTAAATGTATGGCAATTAACTTTTTCCAAGAGGTGAGGTTTTTTTTGGTGTTCATACCTGATGTTAAGTGATAACTGCCTGCCCATGGACATTTGCAGCACCCGTAGGGTTGTAGATGCGTTGCCCCCTCTTAATGATGTCGGCCCTGGCTACCTCACTCACCAGACGAAACACCGGTCTTCCGTGAGGTCCTGGTACTAACCTGGACGGACCTGCCCATTCGTGCAACAGCGAAAACTATTGCGTGTCCCTACCACAGCTGATATTGTAAAGACATTTTTTATTCACATTGTAAATGAGCAATTACCTAGACATACAATTAGTTTATTCAACCAATTAACCCGTAACATATTGTTACATAAGGAGTTCGAGCCCCTTTTTTTTAACGCTAGTCAAATAGCAGCCCCCTGATTTTTTGTCAAATAGCAGCCCCCTGATTTTTTGTCAAATAGCAGTCCCCTGATTTTTTGTCAAATAGCAGCCCCCTGATTTTTTGAAGCGTTTACAAATTTCAGGGGACCTCTGGGGTCCGTTGCTCCTGTGCACCCTCATGGCCACCATCCTGCAGGGTTCTACAGAACGCGCTGATAACTCCAACGACGGTGGCCCCGAGTTCGCTGAGGTGTTTGTGCTGGTGTGGATTGGAGCTGCCATAGTCACCGCCAACTCTAAGCTTTTGGGTGGCAATATGTGAGTTTTTTCCTGAGAGGCGTTTTCTTTTTGTACTTATGCTTCTTTTGGCGGAATAACAATTAAACCGTTATTAATTGCATTTAATTTTTTTTTACAAAGAATAAGTAATGGCACACTGGATAAAATTTTTAGTTATTTTTCTTTTGTTACCCTAAAGAAGTATCACTTCTTAGGTGCATACATAAGTACACATAATTATACTATTGTTTTAAAAAACTTTTTCTTGTCTTTCGCGAAGTCGCCTCGCTTTTTATGCAGAATACTTGGGCAACCAGATTCGAATCCCTGTCTGACTGACTGATTTATCATATGCTGGGTGGTAAAGGAAATAAGGAGGAAATAAACATATTAAAGAAATAATGAAAAATACGTCTGAATTCTAACAATTCATAATGGGGTTGAAAATTCTCCCACTTTTCACTATTTTGCGTATGCTCTATTATGATATAGCTAGCAGTCATTTGATGGCGTAACTATTGGATATTTAAAGTTTTATGCATCTCTGCCCTTAAGATGAAATGCCCTTAAAAATTGTAGAAAAAAAAAAAACGAAAATCACAATTACATTACATTAAGGTTACAAATTGTAATGTTTCAACTAAGGTGCAAATTAGCATTATAAAAATTAAAATTTCGTATAGCAATGGCGAAATCTCGTTCGAATTGTCGTTGTTAAGCGATATTCGAAATGGTTTGTGTGGTGTAAAAGATGTAATAATAGATGCGCCAAGCATTGCTTGAAATACGAAAAAAATAGTGTACGTAAAAGACGATAAGATTTTCTTCGGTGCGGCAATCAGCCGTTATATACCGTTTAGCTTAGCGACAAAAGCGTCTGGTTACGAATCCAGAAGACGCGGGTTCGATTCCTGCAGCGACGAAAAATTTTTCGTTCTTTTTCTAATAATTCTAAAACTATTGGTTGATATCGGTTGTATCTATGTTATATTATTGACACACATAATTATAACATGATATGTCTATTTGCTAGACGTTTTCCACACATTACTTATATTTTAATTACAATAATTACAGGGTTATACATACATTATCTTATAAAGTATGATGATTACCTGTAATTATTGTAACATTTTATTTTCTTTTTATTAAATAGAAAAACATTGCCCTTACTTTAAGATAACATTATCCTGTTGTAAGAGCGTTTACAAAAATACATTTTACGCGGACAAACACCCAGATGCGAAACAACTATCTGTGGGTCACACAAATTGCTGTCCCGTGTGGAAATCGAACCCATGACCCTCGACGCCGCAATCAATACCTTGCTAACTGCGCCACAGAGTCATAGAAATAGGAATTTATTTGTAAATTTATGTTTGGCTCATTCATTAAAGTGGCGAAACCTAAATAAAACACAATATTTATCTTGAACAATATTTTCCAGATCCTTCTTCCAATCGGTGTGCGTGCTGGGATACTGTTTGTTCCCAATTGCACTTGCACTAATCATCTGCCGTATAATACTTTTCACAACGCAGAACTCGTTCCTCTTCTTCCTTAGACTGGTGATATCTATGGTTGGCTTCATCTGGGCAACATTCGGTAAGGATTTAATTTCGTAATTTATTATGAATTGAATTAAAACGTAATGTAAACATAAATACGTTAGAGCAAAGTAGATAAATACTTAACTATTAATAAAAAAATACGTTGAGATTTTCATCGGTGTGAAGATAAGCCATGCGTATCTCGAAGGACGCAGGTACAGATCCTCGCATCGTAGGAAAAAATTTCGTCCGTTTTTCTACAAATTTTAAATTTGATCTTGAGCGCAGAAAATAGCACTATAAAAATAAGATCATTTTAAAGTTTATTGACGGTCCCTACTTAAATAAAGACATGTCAAAAACAGAGGTTTACAGGGGAGCGTAATTTATGTTCAAACCGCTCTAGAAATAATTCAATATCATCAATCCAATACATATGAGTGTTCGTATGAAAGCCAACACATTAGTTAAGTAGTTAATAGGTGTCCAATGCCCTCGTACATTGGTGCAAAGGTATTATCCTCTCGTTCGCGTCAGTTCAAATCGTTACCTGTCTCGCTCTCACATGTTAGCGTAAAGTAGTAACGGCCACGCAGCAGCCTCGGCTGTTGCACGAATGGGCAGGCTAGTCCGGGTAAGTACTACGACCTCACAGAAGACTAGCGTAAAGTGGAAGTATAATACTTTCGCGTTTCGTCTGGTGGGTGAGGTAGCCGAAGAGCAATTTTCAAAAGGTTGTCAACGGATCTGCAACTACCTTTAGTTAACTCCCATGAGTAGCAGATGTCCATGGGCGGCGGTATTTACTTAACATCAGGCGAACCGCCTGCTCGCTTGGTAACTTTCACATAAAAAAAAAAACATTTTGCTACTTTACGCTTTTGGTAAGCTATAACTCATTAATTAAACCATTATCAGTTGCATATAATGTCTTTTTTTACAAAGCTGAGCTCTGAAACATGGGATAAAATATTTAGTTATTTTCATTTTGTCATTCTAAAGAATTATAACTTTTTTTTTTAAATATTACTTTATTTCTGCATTTGACTGTACGCGCTCAGAACTAGCGGAACTAACTTTATGCGTTAAGTTTTGCGCGCCCGATACAAATATACGCATGTAGAGAAATCGTTGTGAATTCGTATAATGTTCAACATTTGTTTTCAGCTGCTACAAAGTTCCTTGGCGACAGTCAACCTGAGGGCAAGAAAGCTTTAGCAGTATATCCAATATGTTTGTTCTACTTCATTCTGTCATGGCTTGTAGTCTCTCACAGTAATGTTTAAGCGCACCCGCGTTAGTACAGGGCATTATATATTTGTTATTGTGATATCGACCTTTCTAGAATAATTTGTGAATAAATGTTTTTCTTTTTAGAATAAGAATCTAATGTATTTATTTGTCAAGTAATAATTATATACTATTGGTATGTTTATAAAGTATCATAGGCTACTATTAAAATTATTGAATGGATATGCACAATTTGAATAAGACGCCCCCCGCAGACTAAAATGAAAGAGGTATTTATGATGTAGATAAATTTATGACTACACTTTGCGATTTATTTATCAACATTCCATTTAAAAGTACTGTTGTTACTCCATATTACTTAACACACGAACTTTTGTACATATATTTTTAATTAAAACACTATTTTCTGTCTTTAGTATTTTATTGAATACCTTACAAAAACATATGTGTCTAAAAATACATAGCTTATGGAAATTCGAGACATCAGTACATTTTGGGTACAATAGTTACTGTTGAGGGCAGGTACACTAACTAGACTAGTTTGATAGGGGTTGTGATTTATTGAATCACAAGTTTGACTTACTTAGAAATTTTTATGTAAATTCATATAAAGTAATATTTATAAAAAATTGTCTGTATGCTGTTTCTAATATTGTTCATTAGTTTGGTTATGTAAAACAAAAATTATTATATTTCGAATGTAATTCTGAAAACGGGTTTTAACATTTACTGGGTAAGGTTATAAATTTTATTAATTGGAAATGCATTGACCAACCTTTTTTAAGAACATTAATGTTCTCACATAAATTAAATAAAAATATCACTATTATCTAACACATAAATAAAAATTATATACCTAACAAGTTGCAATATGTTTATAATATTTATTGTATAAAAACAATCGCAAAACATGTCTCGAATGGGGGTATAGTATAAGAGCATATTTCAAAAATTCTTCACACCTACAGAGTAAAATTCTAGAAAAGATTTATATTGAAATGCTTAGTTATTACTTTCAATATTGGTTCAGCAAATTTTTACAGAGACATTCCTCCGGCAGTAGTTGATTGACAATTTTAGAAAGAGGTAGTATTTAATTTTATTTCCATCTCTTTTTCCGTACGTGTATTTATAACATTTTTATAAAACTGGTGATGTAAATCGGATAATTAATATAAGACACACTGATTCGTGTAAACTAGTTTCGTGAAAAATAAGCCTCTTAAGCCGTAAGGAATAAAAAGGAGAATCAATAATGTTGCGCGTGAGACATAAATGTGACGACGAGCCTACAATGCGTTGCCTACTTTAATGTTTATAATTTAATAGTTGGGCCACAGATAGCAATATGAACATTATAATTCCAAAATCAGTGTAAAAAAAGTATCAAATCAAATCTTGCAAGTTTGTATACGTCCATATTTCTTAGAATTTCAATATAGTGATTATTTTTCGACCAATTTATACACAAACATACTAAATTAGCGAAACTGTTGATTAGATGTTTTTATAAAATGAAAATATTAAAAACCGGCCCAACGGTGGAAAATTAAACATCGAACAGGGTCGCTTTAATATAAACTTCTCAGTCGATACCTACCATTCTAATCTAACATCGAAAGCGAACATCGAGTTTTTGACAGGAGCTAGTTTTTATTAAAATTATTATAGTTTAGCGGCTTGGGATCTCTCCATGCAGCCTTACGGTAAAATAAATATTCGACAGGAACGAGTTTGGCGCCAATTGACGTTGTTTTTTTTTAAAAAAAAAAAACGGCAACGGACCTAGCTCGACTCGGAGCCGCTCGACGCCTTGTCGGGCGTGAGCGGCGGCGAGGGCTTCGGCGAGGTCCTCGCCGGCGGCTGGTAGGACATGTGCATCTGGATCGTGTCGCGCGCCTTCCTCGCGCTCTTGTACGTGAGCGAGTTGGCGCGCGGCTTGCGGCGCGAGAAGTGCCTCTCCACCCACTTGAGCATCGCCAGCACCGAGTCGGTGGAGGAGAGCCGCCGCTCGGCGGACGTCTTCGTTATGTGCGAGGACGCTATGCGGAAGGTCGCCGCCATGCCCTTCAGCGCCTGGTACAGCGTGGGATGGGATCACGCACAATGCACGTTGCTGAACGAAACGGATTTTCACACGACCGTTGAGGGGTGAAAATCCGTTTCATTAAAGGTGGAAGTGTTTTTCGAGGCACGCCCTACACTGGGCACTGTTCACGGATTTTTACATATGAGCCGTGATTACATTCGTCTCAGTTGGTAGTCCCGTTTTTCGCGTGTATGTAATATGTACAAAGACACATATATAAGGCAAGCTCTACTCTAAATCTGTCGTTAAAAACTTTTTAATAATTTAATTTGTCTAATCTACGCAGCGTGAACTTACAGTATCGGTGTGGTTGGATGTAATTTCACGAGTTATAGGATCTCAAACTGGAATGCTTGAATGGTAATTATTAGGTGTTAGATATTATTTACATTGTAGATGTTTAATACATTTATCAAGGGGTTAACCATCATCATTATTACAGTCTGTTTAAATCCACTGCTGTATATTGACTTTCCCCCTAGATTGTCACAAAGAACGACTCTGACCCACTTGATTTCCATAGACTCTCTGCACATCTGTAGATGGTAAAATAATAAATCTCGAGTATTACCAGCATCGCGTCTTCGTCAGTGTTGTCGTCACCCGCGTAGATGATCCTGATTCTTTCACTCCAGTCCAATCCAAAGGCCGTTCTCAATATGTATATTGATGCTCGACCTGGAGATGTATGATGCATAATAAACGCTAAGTAATTATGCCTCAGGCGACTAGTAGTGCTTGCACATTTTTTCAACAGACATCAAAAAAGGCGGATATTTTCAATTACATTGTATTTTTAATATTAATTACCTCTGCAGTCCGTGAAATTGTTTCATTGGGAGCTAGTCATTTACTACAGCAGGAAGGGGAAATGGAAAAGCTTTGGCGGAGGAGCACCCTTGTTCCACTGCACAGGCGGCCGCAGAAATGGGGAAGAGGTGGAGCCAGTGTTTTGCTACAGCGGGAAGAGGAAATGGGGGAGCATTGGTGCAGACGCACAAGCGACCGCGGATATGGTGAAGTGGGGGAGTCACCTATTTGCTACAGCGGGAAGGGGAAATGGAGGAGGAATTGGTGGAGGGCGCACCCTTGTTCCACTGAACCGGCGACCGTGGATAATATGGTGAAGTGGGAGAGTCAGTTATTTGCTACAGCGGGAAGGGGAAACGGGGGAGCACTGGCTGAGACGCACCCTTGTTCCACTGCACGGGCGGGCGCGCCTCGAGCGCGCAGTGGGCCGGCGCCGGGGTGAACCCCGCGGCGGTGATGAGCCGCCGCGCCTGCTCCGCCAGGGCAGCCCTCTTCGCCACCGGCGTCTCCCTGAAGTGGAACGTCAGCAGCGCCCCCTTGTTCTCCACCCACGCCCCGTCCTTGCACACCTGGCGGGTGCGAAACGGCCGGTAGGCGTTTTTTTTTAATGGAAAAGAAGGAAAACGAGCCGGCGAAGTAGAAGCATTGGGACGAAAAGGTCACGGGCACGAATTTGTGTATTTTATATCCATGCACAAGAGCTATCATGACGGTACAGCTCCCCATCGTGATCACTGTCGTCCGTTTTACTGTACCACCCGTATTCGATGACAAAAACAGTATAACATAACAGCCCTTATTATAAGGCGATTCGCAAAATATTTTCATTCAATGTACAAACATCGCAATTCAAAAACGAGTCCAAATTTTTTTTTATAATTTTCAAAAATAGAAATAAAATATTTTTTTCACTTTCACCAGCGTTAATCAACCGATATAACTTCGATAAAACCTCAATGCCTAATATCGCCTCTCCTCTAATTGTAACTACGTTAAAAAAGCTACAGCAATGGAATGTTCCATTTCGAAGATCTCACCTGCTCCTGCAGCGATTTGAGCAGCTCGACGACCTTGTCTTGCAGTTCCATCGGCATGGGATGCACGAATTTACTGCCATCCGGGTGTAATATCTCCAGACCGTGGTTGCCGGCGTAAGTTATACCTTCGATTCCAACCTAGAAACGAAAATTTGATAAATTTAAAAATAATCATAATTATTTTTATGATTATTTTTAAATTATATGTTACCCTCGTTTTTAAATATTAGTTATTAAAATTGTTTGACGGATACAAAAATACATTACTACCAAAAGAACATGACGTTCAATTAGAACGAAGATGATTTAGTTTCTTATGCATTTTGCTCCAGTATCTTTAGCGGTTCCATAACTTAAAAGTGGCAACGCATCGATAACTCTAACGCCCGGTTTCTGGAACACTGATCAACGTAGAAGTTAACTAATCAGCTGTCAAATGGCTTTTCAAATGTTATTTGAGTTGCCAAAATGATTGTTAAACTCTTTGAATTGATCATTCTGATCAATAAGAAGATCATTCTGTTTCGCCTTCACCTTAGTAACGTCGCACATATCTTCGAAAGGAACATGCAGTTTTATCTTCAGATATATTCTACGCATTCGTGAGTGAACAAACTGCGGTCAGATAAATTAAACCTGTTTATATTTAAGTACACGGGCGGCGTAACGAGTTGAATAGTCCCGTTTCTATATGTAACAGTGTCAATTATTAATATAGTGTCATAATAGCGATCAAAGTCACGTGCTGCGGCCATGAGCCCGATTATATCCTTGTATAGCTCGAGCGGTAATTATATTCCGACTGATAATTGTAACAGTTTGAACTTGATCTCACTGTAACCAAGTGTAAGTTTAGCAATGAATAATTTATTATGTACTTGTATAACTGTTGTGGATGCGTTTGTTTGGTTGCATGCCGAATGTTCATATATATACGATACACACAAAGGCATATCCATTACAAAGAAACTAACAGTATTATTAAAAATATGTAATAATAAGCAAATATTCATTTTTTAAAGTTAAATTTCTTTGCGCACATGAGAGTTTGACGAAGGTGGAATTTGACGAACGGAGCGTGGTAATCGGAAAATATTAAAAAGTGAAAGCCACCAATTGCTGATATGGAATCCGTGGACAATGATGCGTGTTGTTTGCGAATATGAAACCTTAATACGGAAATTGTAAAAAACAAATTAGAAATTTAAATTTTAACATTTTATTTCATTAAAAAAATCTTATTCTTTACGATTTGGGGGAGGCGTTCGCATTTTCATATTTTCCCTTATACAGTGGTGAGGATTTAAAATAACTAGTAGAGTTTAGTTACGTAATGCTCGAACAGCCACTAAGCAAAATGTTTAGTATTCTTATATCTTGTATTAACTGATTTTTTGCTTTCAGTCCCGAGACTATTAAAGCTTCATCTGACGATGAACCGGTGGGCTAGCCAGAACCCACGGGTTTGGGCCGGGTTTGGGCTGTTCAGTATTGGGACCCGCGTCACAAGCTCCCAACTTTAAATTGAACTTGTTAATGCTCTAATGACAACAGCATTTCCGATTTTTTTATTTCATTAGTTTAGGTCAGAAACCGTTCGGAAAGATACTCATTTCTATTTTGCTCCCTACACCGTTCCAGTGTCCCGTGAGCTGGCGCCGACGGCGTGTCATTTGCTTGCTTACGTGAGGTCGAACGGGCGCGTAAATAATTTTCCTCCACTCCGATACCGAAGTTCAGCGTTCCCCGTGATAAGGAGATTTATTGCGCTCAGCGAAAGCGTCGCTAATTGATTGCTTGTATTATACATATAACGTTTTAGCTCCAACTGTATGCAACTTTGCGTATATGTACAATGTATGAATGACTCACCATCATACTCATTTAAGGCCCTTTAGTCCATTACTGAACATAAACCCACAATGATTGCCAAGAAGCACAAACAGCGCCATCTGTTTGCATCGAATTCCTGCAAATTTTGACAGGTCACTCCATCTAGTGAGGGGTCGTCCTACACTGCAATGCCAATACAAGGCTGCCACTCGAGAACCTTTCTCCGCCATCGATTATCGATCTTATAAGCAATGTGGCCGGCCTATGCCCCCTATGCCTTTAATCTGAGCTTTGTTGGTTACCTTTGTTCTACTGCAAATATCTGAATTGCAACTTCTACCACGCAGAATACTAAGCATAGCCCGCTCCATATATCCGATCTCCATATTCCTTCCACGGCCAAGATTAAACGACCACTTCTCGGTTCTGTAGGTCATCACTGACATCACAAATTGATTGAAAACTAGACTTCAAACATATACCGGGCCTACCTAACCGGACTAACTGTCCAAAAAACACCAATAAGGAAAAAAAAATATTTTCGACGATGCCTCCCAGGATAAAGCAGTAAAAACATGATTTGCGCGCGATATAAATATCAAAGAAGTTTAAAAATGAAAATTTACAGTTATAGCTTTGAAAAGCACTTTTGAAAGCACGAAAGCAAACTTTCAGAAATTATCCAACAACGCCTAACAAAGAATAGGTTATCATAGTGTGCAACCTTTGTTTCAAATTATTCCAAAACATTGTGATGAGAAAAAAAATGTGAGCCGTCACGGGACGCCTGGCAGATGTGAAACATCGACATTATTTTGTAAAAGATTGTGATAGGAACTAAATATGTCATAATGATAAAATAAAATATTACGATTTTTTTTCCAATAATTAATAAATAATTATTAACAATAAATTTAAATTTGAGTAATTAATCGTACACACTACTGTAATCGTACACAGAATGTATATATATATATATACCATCATATAGTGTGGTGACGCGTCGCCACGGCATGCGTCGCCACGCCAGAAATCGGTTTTACGTGCGGCTATAGATGTTTCACATCAACAAATAATTTTAACATTAAAACACGACCGTAATTGAATCGCGGTGGAAAATATATGATCCCCGATAGCCCTGACCTAGTATACGCCGAGGCGATTTCATGATAACACCGATCTTGCCTAACACTGCGATATCTGTGAACAATTTTACGTCAGTCCATTGATATGTTTTTAATCGGGATCTTGCTGCTTCCGACGTTTTTGCGCTGAATCCAAACAAAATTACAATCTCTCATCTTTTTAATGTGACATAGCTATAAACAATATGTAGATTGAATAATAAGATACAACGCGATTATTATTGTTCTATATCACAATGCAAAATCACACCTATTCATTTGTAACTGGGTGTAGTTTAAAGTTTCTAATTTAAAGTCATAGTACCTGGAGGACCGAGCTTTGCTCGTTTTTTTTTAGTAAATCATGTATTTTGTAAATAAAAAAAAATAAAAAATGAAGAAAATGATCTGGTATAGAAAAAAAGTAAAAAAATAAGTGTGTAAATGATCGTGATACGAACCGCGGCCGTCTGTTTTGGGGCCGCCCGATTACCGACCGAGTTATTATAACATTTTTTGCGGCGAAATTTACTGTCATATTGGGGACATTTTCTAAAAATGAAACCTAGCTAGATCGATTTTTCGCCCCCGAATCTACGCACATACTAAATTTCATGAAAATCGCTGGAGCCGTTTCCGAGATTCCGATTATATATAATATACAACAATTGCTCGTTTAAAGGATAAGATTGAACAAGCGGTTAACCTAAGCTTTTATTTTACTTATCAAACCGGCCTGAATGCTGTAGTCTGAACTAACAGGCAAGTTTCGATGTCAATGTCCCTTAGATCTTTTTTATAGCCTGCCAATACTGTGTTCCGCTCATACACGGACGGTTGTCGTGATCATTAAATCCATTGTATTACGATTTTAATAATGTACGTAAATAAAGTAACTTGCGTATTTCTCTTCTCGGATTTTTGCGACCAAAATCATCATGTCGCTTTTTGGCTGTCTAATAATTCGTTCCAAACGCACCAATCATGATTCGAGTTCAATTCAAGAGGAGAAAGGGGCTCTCACCATGTCCTTGACGTTGTTGACGTTCCGGCCCGAGATGATGGCGATGTACACGTCGGACATGTTTGAGAGGCGCTGCAGGGTGTGTTTGGTCTCCAGCGGCAGCGTGGCCAGGTCCGGGTGGGGGGCGATGGGGGCCAGGGTGCCGTCGTAGTCCAATAGAAGTGCCAGCTTCTGAGTGTAGCCGATGTACCTGTCGCGGGGCGAGTTGTTCAACACAGTTAGTTGTTTTTTTTTATTTAATTAGGATCGCAAACTGAACGTTACACTCACATTACAGAATAATGGACACAGATAAAGTTGATACGGAACTTAACACACAAGTGAATGTTCTTCTATGAGCGAACACAACATGCACAAAAAACACTCTCAACAATTAATAATTGTACAATGAAATTAAAAAAAAAAACAAAATAAAAAATGAAAAACAAAAGAAATTAAAGCTAAATCAAAAATAATAGATAAAACAACATTTAACTTAATATAATAAATAGTTTATATAAAACAACACTTCAAATAATAAATAAATAAATAATAAATTAGTGATACGTCCACACAACGGCTTCGGCTGTTGCACGAATCGGCAGGTAACCTCACAGAAGACCGGCGTGAAGTAGAAGTGTCATACTTCTGCGTTACGTCTGTTTAGCGAGGTGGCCCGTTTTGTTACAAGGTGGCAACGCAGCTGCAACCATACGGGTGTTCCGAACGTCCATTGGCGGTGGTCATCGCTTAACTTCAGGTGCAACGGCAGCCCGCTCCGCCAGCGCCTAATCACCGAGGTCACCCGAGGGTCAGGAACGGAGACTTACTTGGAGAGGTACTCGTCGAAGTCGTCGATGGTGACCGGCTGCATTGAGGTGGCCCCGATGTCGTCCGCCTCCTCCTCCAGAGAGTCCATCGCCTTGAGGAAGCTCTTCATCCAGCTGTCCACGTCGTTCAGCTGCTCGCGGCGGCGCAGGTGGTTCATGCGCACTATCCGCTCGTCCTCCGGCATTATCAGCGCCCTAGAACGTTTTAATAATACCTATAATATTACAGGTTTGAAATAAAAGGAGATATACAAGAAACGGTTTGTTGTTCCCTGTTTAAATTGCATTCTCATTTGCCTTTCATACGGAAGAGCCGTGATGGCTGAGTGTCCGGGCGATTGCCTTTAATTTAACTTGAGTAGGATCCCCGGTCCTGGCACAGAGGCCTTAGTCCAGCAGTGGGACATTAATAGCCTGTTACTTTACTTTTTAGTTTATTCATTTAGCCATTCATTCTTAACATCAATATCAGCAACCTGAACTGGAGGATTTAGTGATGGACAATTTTATTTCAATTACCATTTGATTTCTTTTCTAAAATTGAAATTAACTTTTTAAGATTTACGAATAATAATATGAATGGCACACTCGGAACAATTCGGGGGACAAGGCGAATAATTTTCTCGTGTAGGATCGAACCAGCGACCCTTTCGAAACCGGTAGCTCAACGACTGACAAACCAATACAAGAATAAACAGCTCACAAACGAGTCCTAAAAAAAACAAACCGAATGGAGAAAACTCCTTCATCGAAGTCGGTTAAAAGAGCACCCCTCTTAAAAACAGCAAACCGACCTCACAGAAGACCGGCGTAAAGTGAAAGTAGAATACTTTCGCGTTTCGCCTGGCGAGTGAGGTGGCCGGAGCCCAATTTTCAAAATGTTGTCAACGCATCTGTAACCCTCGGGTGTAGCAGATGCGCATGGGCGGCGGTATTCACTTAACATCGGGTGAACCGTCTGCTCGCTTGTCAACTTTTCGCATAAAAAAGCCCCCGCCCGCGCCCACCTGTGTATCACCTCCGCCGCGTCGTCCAGCTCGTAGGGGTTGCATATCAGCGCCTCGTGCATCATCTCGCCGGCGCCTGCGAACGGCGAGACGACCAGCACGCCGGGCGGCCTGTTGATCTGGCACGCGACGAACTCCTTCGCCACCAGGTTCATGCCGTCGCGCAGCGGCGTCACCAGCGCCACCGCCGCGTCGCGGTAGAACGCCGCCAGCTCGTCCTGGCCCACGCAGCCGTAGATGTACCTGCGCCACGCCCTCGGGTGACCACAACTGCGCGCTTCCGGGGATTAGGCTGATAGATATGCCGTGAGATCCAAATAATGGTGCCCATGGGTGGCCTGAACCTCACGCTTTCAGAGATTGGCCTGATAGATATGCCGTGAGATCTAGACCGATCGGTAATGGCGCCCTTGGATGGGCAGAACTACACGCTTTCGGAGATTAGGCTGGCAGATATGCCTTGAGACCTAGATTGATCGGTAATGGCGCCCTTGGATGGGCAGAACTACACGCTTTCGGAGATTAGGCTGACAGATATGCCGAGAGACCTAGTTCCCGCTTCACCCATGGTACACGGTAGTACCATGGGTGAAAGCGCTATGGATATTCACAATATCACACTATCAGACGCAGCCACTGGGAAATGGTGCACATGGACAACAGCATCACATTTTCAGAGATTGGGCCAGACGGAGGCGTAATATTGTCGTTTCATGGTAGCCTTCACTCGATCAAATGAGCCGTGCCTTGTACTCCAGACAATCTCCAATTTGAATATAGGCTTATTACTAAGGATTAAGTATAAAAGAAATGCAATTCATTGTAGACACCGTTGTGTCTGTTGTGTGACTACTGTTTGGATTATATCGGTTTCTTATTGTCAAATTTATTATTTCGTGTTTGCTACCTTTCTCATGTATTCATGTTTTACCAGATTAACAACTAAATGGTTCGTGACGATCTATGGAAATTCATTACGTACTCCTACAAGTGTTTTACCTTGTCATGTATGATGCAAGATATTACTGAGCAGCTAAAATCATATGAATTATCATATGATTAAGTATAAAAAAGGCAGCCTACATTTTTATGATTAAGAAAAATCTGTTGTATTTTTTAAATTAAAATTAATTAAATTGTCAATTCAACAAGATACGTGAAGTGCATTAATTTGTAATGTATTCAATATCTGCAGAAGTATAATAGTGTTATAATTATGTTTTGCTAAATACATTACTTCTTTAATTAAATCAATATCTTTATAAGCCGCAATTTAACCATAAACAGTTTTATTATCACAAATTATAATGAGCAAAAAGCCGACGTAACATACCTAACAACAGAGGTCAGAGGCGGCTTTGATTTTTGTTTACAGTTAGGTGTTTGGCGACGCTTTTGATTATTTCTAAGAACCCACAGACTATCAACAATACGTAAATATTCCACGTGTACCAGGTCAAAAAGTTAAAGAAACAAAACACATCATGACTTATGATAAGTATGTGAATAAACTGCGATTAATATAAACACGGTGATGGCTTGGCACCTTCAGAATAAATACACTTATAGGGTTAAAATCAGTGATACGAGTTGCTATTATTAAGGTTAATACGGTCCTGGCTCTAATTGCTTACCTGATAGGTGACCAATTCGGTGTCGTGAATCTACCGTTGATCCGGCCGACCAGCTGGTCCATCTCCTCTTTGAGGTCCTGGTACTCCTTCACGTCGGTCCTCGACGGGACCGAGATCTGGAGCAGTACGACCTTCTCTATGTGCTCTGGGTGCTTCTCCAGTAGCCTCTCGAAGGCCTTCAGCCGGTGGACAAGGCCCTTGGTGTAGTCGAGCCTGTCCACCCCGAGGATCACCTTCTGGCTGGTGGAGAGGACGGTCTTCGCGTTCTGCGCCAGCTGGACGAACCTATCGAAGGGCACCCCGATCGGCAGCGGCCTCACGCAGATGGTCCTGCCACCGAGCTCGACGAGCAGGTTCTTCCTGTCCACACGGCAACCCAGGTTGCGTTGGCAACAGTCGATGAAGTTCAAACAGTAGTCGGTTATGTGGAAGCCGACCATGTCGCACCCTGTGCGGATTAGTGAACGTTGTTAGGTTTATTGGTTTTTTTTAACTCAAAAACTGGCCAGTGCCGGACTAACGTCCCACCTAGATGGGTGATTATGTGCCCAGTGAAAGGCTATTCGCTATTGCCTTGACACGCACTCATACTGGCCAGTTCGCGTGAATCGCCAAGGTGGACCCTAAGCCTCAGCGTACCTAGTATTCCTTGCAGCACCTCGTCGGACCACGGGAACAGACGGAATATGTCCCATGGCGGGAACGGAATGTGCAGGAAGAACGCGAGCTTGCATTTAATGTCCTCTTCCTCCGCTCGCTGAAAACATGAATCGTGCTTTAGACAGCGTCTACGAGAAGCATAATATATTCCCAATATATTCCAGTCCATTTCTTGGTCTAAAAATTGTAAAGAGACTTAGCTGCACAGTTTAAGATACATTAACACGTGTAAGACAACATATAGATTTGAATCTCTCTCGTATCCATAACAAAGAACTACACAAAATATGTTGCTTAAAACATTAAAATGGTATTAGGGTCCAACTTATGATGATGGAATCACCATCCATAATACATTTTTGTATTCGCAACAGCTTCTCCTGTGGCACGTAGGTCCAAGACTGGCGTGAAGTGGATGTATTAAGTTTATTACTTTCACGTTCCGCCTTGTGAGTCAGGTCACCGTGGTGCACTTTTTAAAGGTTTCCAACGCATCTGCAAGCTTTCAAGCTTCAGCCTAACATCAGGTGAACCGCCATTTATTACTATCACCTGCTCGCTTGACAACTTCTCAAATAGAAATAAGTCAGAACTGACCTGCCTAATCCAGTTGGCGGCCAACATTAGGTGGTAGTCGTGCACCCAGACGATGGGGGGCGAGCAGCTCTTCTCATTGCTGGAATCCTGCTTGAGCAGTTGCAAAGCGTGCATAGTCTTCTCGGCGAACTGCTCGTTGACCTTGATGTACGCCCGCCAATGGTCCGCGATGAATGTGGCCCGGTCGGGCATCGAGTGGAAAAGGGGCCAGAAGGTCCCGTTGCAGCAGCCATTGTAGTAGCTATCAAATAGCTTCGGCTCCGCGTGGATGGCAACGATCTATAACGGAAGAGGACAGTGATAATTAAGTGCAGTTCTTGCTTCCCTTCTCGTTTGCATTTTTTTTATTTTGTATTTTTTTATATTGTAATATTTTTTATTATATTTCTTTTACATTATATTATTTTGCATTTGCTTGACTTTTTAATTTTAATCAATCTATTTCTTCTCTATCGTGAATCTATTTCTTGACATAGGGCGTCTATATAAAAAAAAAGTGGAGAAGACGGACTTTGCACACATTTTTTAGCTTAGTTTTCAGTAGCCTTTGCTGATTAAAGGTTACGCAAATTATTCTGATAATATTTGCTAACGATGTAAGTAAAAGTTTAAAATGATTTTTTATATATAATTAATTCATTGATTTCATGCGATAAGATGACTCATTGTCGGATGGAACAATCTGTGCCAGCGAGAAAGGACCCGTAAGGCGAATATAACTTAGCCTCCGGACGCTTCGAGAATTTTCTGCTATATCGCTTCAAATTGGCATACACTTGGCCTACATTTGGTGCATTTTTTTCCGTTACGTTTACCGTTTTGCCCCTGTACAGAACATGTAAGCAGAGCACCTTTTTTGGAATAAAATAAAATTATTACGCTTGATATAAGCAGTGACAGTCTTATGGTAGTGATGAACGGCTACTCGTCTATTTTCTCTTTGCACATTTCTTTTGTTTTCAGGTTAAGATTTTATTTCTTAACATAGACTAAACATGAACGTATGTTGTTTACGGAAATATACTCAATAGTTCTTGTAGTATCTAACCATCAGCTTTTATATTTACACAAGTGTAATTAAAGACAACTTAATTCAATTGAATTGTAAGTTCTAAGTTTTTTTTATATTTCTTATACTAATATTTCATCGTATTAATGGAAAATTAAAATAGTGGATAGATAAATGAACTGTGGTAGGGCCACGCAACAGTCTTCGCTGTTGCATGAGTGGGCACGTCCGTCCTGGGAAGTACCACGACCTCATAGAAGACCGGCGTGGACTGTTATACTTCTTTCAAATTCAAAACATTTTTATTCACATAGACGCTTGCGTGTTCTTATGAAACGTCGAAATTTTACATAGAAATTAATACGCTCGAAGTTACCACCTTTGCGTTTTTCCACCACCACTTCTGCGTTTCGTCTGGTAAGTGAGGTAACCGAAGCCCAATATATTAAAAGGTCCATGGGCGGCGGGTATTACTTAACATCAGGTAATCGCTAGCTTGCCACCTTCTCACATAAAAAAAAAAGTAAAAATTAAATCGAGGTTAAAACACGAAAAACACTAGGCTAAAGTTAGTGTCAAGTCAAACATTAATTAAAGTTTGTACGTACGTGTTTCATATGTGTATATACAAGAATTGTATCTACCAGCTATAAGTTATACCAGAAGTACGTTTTAATATGCCAACAACGAAACACATAAATCACGGACCGTTGCGATTACACGAAACGTTGCTAATTTACGAAGCTGCACTCTAATGGAATTCATCTGGCCATGGCAATAACAAAATCTGAAATAGACCGAAGAATAATAAAATCTAGAACGGAAAAAGCCATTAGTGACGAATTGGACAAGCATCAAAAATGGGGGTCGCGTTACACGACGACGCCCACTTAGATTGTATAGATCGTAAATAATACAGGTGGTGTTCAGGCGCAAAATTGCCGGTAGCAATCAAACCTAGAATTCAGGCATTGACGACATCCTTGAAAAGTTATTTACGACTATTTTTAAACGTAATTTTATATGCCGAGCTTTTGTCCGACTTCTATGAGCTGTAATACTTTGTCAAGTTGCATGGTTGTGTTTATAAAGAATCCCATTAAGGCCAACTGTCCACTTGTTTTTGAAAGTAATAATCTTCACTTAAAGAGCGAACATGTAATTACTATATAACGAGTGTAATCCGAATATTATTAAAAATTCGAGGTAAAGGAAAAATGCCTTGTTGATTATTATTAAAATGAAGGAAGTTTATATAAATGTTGAGAAGCCATTTGACAGCTGATTAGTTAGTTTCTACGTTGATCAGTGTTTCAGAAATCGGGCGTGAATATATCAATTCAAGCTAAAATATACCGAAAAATAACAAGGTACCAAGAAAAAAAAGCATATGTCACTAAAATGGTCTACTGCCAAATTTAGACCTTAATTTTAAAATAATGGCAACCAACTCCATTAAATAAATGAATAGCCCACTTCATTAAAGGCTCGCAGCTCACCTAAAACTAATAAGTTATATACCCTCTCAATACGGAGAAGACCTTTTCCAAGCTGTGGGACATATATAGGCTGTTACCTAACTTTGACTTTAAAACGACGAAGTAACGGTTAAGTCCATTATTGCGTAAAAACAATTCCATTATTTCTAACTCTTTCATTAACGGGACCAGATAAAGACAAGACTTATTTGATGCAAATTTCCTATCAGATAACGGCTGCCGGCATTTGTTTGCGTAGAAGCTTCTTTAAGTACACATAGTTTGTTTGGAACGAATGGAAAATACCATAAAAGTAATAATATTTATCGATATGGGATTACAATCGAATCGCCTGTGGAATAAATAGGAGATATCGAAGATAATTGAATGATCGAGCAAATACCACTCAGGTTTATTATAGTCAGGCATTTATTATAGTTTTGAAAGTGAGCCCTTATGGACATGAGAAGGGAAAGTTTTAAACAATGAGAATATATAATAATAATAAGGAAATTGGTTTTTATGTATATCCATGTATATTTAAACGGTCAGCGTAGAACCTTGAAATAGACAAACATACATGCCTTTGGAATTTCTTATGATATCTTGGCGAGAATCTATACGACACCACACGCGATTCGATATGGATCATTGGTCTTCTGTGACCTAGCATTGACCGCCAGTATCATTACAATTAACGACAGATGAAAATTTATTAATAGCTATAAAGACTGCTCTTTCTCTACGTGATAAGTTTGCAATGAATATATCCGCTAAAGAACAAAGGAAACCGGCATAGCTCAAAAGATTAGTAAGCTGAAGTGGCAATGGGCATGCCATGTAGCTCATAAAATCGCTAGCCGGGGAGGAGGAAGGTTCTTGAGTGGGAGTCACGTATTGGACTGCCCCCAACTGCATGGTGACCTTTTCAAATGTGCGGTAGGTAGATGGATGCAGTGTGGCACAGGATAGGTCTTCGTGACAATCTAGCGGGGGGAGGCCTATGTTGAGGGCCTATAACAGGATGTAACGATGATGAGGCTGCTCTTAGAGTATAATAATACTTCAGTCGGCCGAATCCGAGGAGTCTTCCCCCGTGTTAGTAAGGTTAAGATAAGAATATAAGAGATTAAGAAATATAAATATTAAAAATATAGAAATAAACGCAATTGCTTGGTCGTTGACTCCGTTCCCTCGCGGTAAAAGTACTTTTGACCCGCAGATAAATAATTCTTCCGAATCTGCTTTTATTTTTCAAATGGAGTTTGTGTATTTAAAACGTTCTTAGACAGGATAATGTTATCCTAAGGGGAAATGTAAAAAAAGAAAATAAAATTAGTTAATCTTTAAATTATAATCATGACCATTTAAATATTCTTCTTTCATCCATTTAAATATTTTGCTTCTTTGTTTTGCTTTCTTGCGTTACTATAAACTAAATTGTAGAATTGAATCACATAAATATTACCCGTACAGTTTACTGGCGGGCCATTTCAGAACATCCATATTCGCCCAGACTGAACTATTGATCCACTTTAGGGAACCAGACTGAGAGAATACGCTGTACAAGCGATTGCTTAACTTGGCTAGACCGTTATTCATTCGAAGTTTAATTACGATTATAATACATTCAATTTGCAATTATAATTGCTTATTATCATTGGATAATATGTAATTTTATAAGCCAAATCACTTTATGTTGTCACAGTAGAAGTTCGTGATAATCAATGAATTGAAATGAGCCAATGATTCTAAAAGGTATTGCATCTCCAGTATCCCTAGAAATGATTGTATCGTAATCGGATGTGTGCAACATGAATACAGAATTTTCTGAAAGTGGATGAAAATTTAAGTGATTCAGAACATTCATTCATGGTACAAACATACATAAAAAGTTATAAAAAAATTGTAGGTTGTAGGTGTTATTGCATTAAATAATTGCATTATTGAACTTTACTCGATGCTAGTTTTCAATAAGTTCTTTTATTTTTTTAGTTTTTAGTTGCTTTTGCTTTCCTGCGATAAATTGTCGTATTATAATTGCGACCACGATTTCTGTTAAGTATAACTATAATTTAAGAATTTAAAACTATTCAGCGAAGATTTGCAGCTTGTGTTCTTAGCGCCATGCCGTGTAGACTAAATCTGTTTTGACAACGTCTAATTTGCTTAGTTTATGTCAATACTGTAAATAATTTATTCTTTTAATCAAAACTGTAAAAATTGTTTGTTGTTGTTATTAACAACTTTATGTTTTGCCTATGCTTTTAATGACATTAATATTTTAAAATAAATGAAATGAAATAAAATGTTCTTTTTTCCTCATAACTTAAAAATATTTTTGTAGTTTTTAAAGTAAAAAGATACCTGTAGCAGAGGGCCTCGCTTATCCTTTATACACATAATATATTATATGTACAGTAAATTGTTCATGATTTTAGTTTTGATTATGCTTTATATTTTATTAATTTTCAATTCCTTTTAAATCAAAAGAATTAGTAGAAAGAAAATTAGGTGGTATTAATCTTTTTGAATAATCGGTGGTAAGCATTTAACGACATATGAGAACTAAAGATACTTCACGTGAGCCATACGATCAATTATAGAAAACACAATCATTAAGCTTATGGTAATGTTTTTATTATTACGGAGAATGTAACACATTTCTCAATTGACATTCAATTAACTGAAACCGATGCTCGGCTCAATGTGAGACAATGCCTTGTACCGGTTCAGACACAGAAAGTTGCTAAAATATTGTGCATTGTATTATTTTTTAACACCTTACTTTG